GGGTAGTCATTGAGATACTTGGTGAACTCATCGTCATATAGAAGGCTGTCAGTGTTTGCAACCCCAAGGAAAAGCCAAGCAAGGCCATTAAACTTAGTTGGAACCGATTCCATGAACATACGGCGAAGGTAGCCTCGGAAGGGAGCCACACCAGTTCCAGTTCCAATCATGATGTGTGTGGCATTTGGATTCTCTTCTGGTAGAAGCATTATCTTACCAGAAGGACCTGGGAACATACAAAGGGCGGTCAATGACGGACAAAACTGAATATCAAGTATTTCACCATATATATGCAACCCACCAACAAATTATAAGAATCCAAGAGCCAAATGACAGACTATTAAGATGTGAAGTATCAACAGGAGTTTTAATTCTCAGCAGGGTATCTTATTTAGAAGCACATGGTTAGAGCGAAAGGTGACAGCGTAGGAACACCATTGAGTTAAGAAATTCTTTATAGGGAAGTTTGTAATTGTAAAAGGGTTAGTTATGCCAAAGCTAAATCAAGAAGCGCCACACAACAGACTTAAGGGAAGGGTCCTTTAATAATAGCTAGGAAATCACTAGTACAAAATAGGCATTTACGGATTCGTCATATGATCAGATAATCAAGTAAAAAATTCACGAGAGAGTGCCAGACAAAGCTGTGATGCATATTCGTAGGAGTCGTTTGGTTACCTGGATAAGGATACTAATTCCAAGATAGAATATGAGATTGTATTTATCTCATGTTTGGTTATGGGCATTAGTTAATGGTAGGATAAATTTTATACCAAAATGGTGGGATTATCTTATCCCATATAGAAGGTAGGATAGCTAATCCCATGGGATATCCTTGTCTATCCCACAATTGAACCAAACGACCCTTGGGAGAAAAAATATGCATAGCAGCTGGAATTTACAAGTACACAAGGAAAAGGCAGATATCTTCAATCTGTTATACGTACAACCTAAACAGTCTACTGAACAAAATAATTAGTTGACAAGACCATTTTTAATAGTATGCTGCCCAGAAGATCATTTCTTTGTCCCTCTTTTGAGATGTTGGAAAAACCTATTAATTGAGCCAAAATTGCACTTAATGTGATCAGATGTGACAAGTTGAGAATGCAATGCATGGAAGACGACTAGTGTTGGCATGTAAGTCTTCTTTGAATAACATCTGTAAAAGGACTATTTGGATTTAACCTGTGATCTTCACTTTGTCACCAGGCTTTGAGTCGCACAGGAAGTTGCTGCAAACACCATTTTTGGAAGGGTCTTCCTTTCCTGTCTCAGGATCATAGTAGACAGCTCGTCTGACACACAAGCTGGCCGTCTTCCCATCAAAAGAGTCCCCATATCTGGTGGATGCAATTGAATATAGACGAACATTGTGGGGATTGCCTGGTTTCTTAGGATTTTCACCCTGAAATGAGTTAAGATGTGAGGCTCTGAAAGACTGATGGACGTAGAAATTATACTCAGCTATTAGCAAGGAAGAAGACGAGTTTGTTATTAGAAAAATCAGAAAATTAGGTTAAAAGAATGATTACAGCACATTTCCTATTTTCACAATGCGAATGAAAAGCCCAAACCACAAACAGGTTCAGTTCTAATATTAACATGCATAAGCTTCATTTCACGTAGGCCAGAAGTTAATAGTACCAATTAACAAAGTATCTTACTATGCAGGAGCTGACATACAATAATCATTTACAGCATGACAGGGCAAAGACTGGATGTAACACAGTACAATTTTTGGGCTGACTTCTATCTATTGGGATGTCAAAAGGGAAAAGAAGCAAAAATGACAACAAATTAATTGATGGAGTAGGAAATCTTTGAGACATGCCTGCAACTGTCTTTTTATTGCCATCAAACAAGAAATAAGCACTCATTCGAATAGACAATCAAGCAAATGAAAGAACATTACAGCCAACATATTAATGACAAATCACAAATGTATTGCTAGTAATGCATGTGGTTGTCCTTCAAAATGGAGTCCAACTAATGGAGATGTGTGTAAAGCAAGCAGGAAGAGAAGACATGGATTTCATTCAAAAAGTTATATGACTGATCATATATAGATTCAATCACGGCAAAACGAGAAAGCTTTTCAAAAGAATAATGGAAATATGCAGCCAGAACTTACAGGAGGAATGACACCATAACTTTGTCCTTCCCAGTAAGGAAGGTTTCCATCATGATCAATGACAATATGACAAGTCTCCCCAGGAGCTTTTGGGCCCACAAGCCTCTCAACAGAGACAATTGTCGCTGTGTATGGTTCCTTGGGCTTGTAAATATTCAATGGTGGTTCTTTTGCATCTTCAAGTGATAAAGGTGAAACTGAAACCTTGGCTTTGCTAGCTTGTTGCACCGACATGCAAACAATGTGTTGGTTTCTCGATGGTGCTGCTTTTAGATCGATAGGCGGCATAGAGATCCATGATGATCTATCACTAAATGTTATGCTTGTAGCCTGTAACAATGAAATGCATAATTGTACTCTTTAGTTAAGTCAAATCATTTTCAAACTGTTAGTGAACATATAAAACATGTGATTAAATAGATCAGGAAACACATACAAAACTAAATATGTGGATATCAACTGATGGAAGCAGCAACAGGAAGTGTATATGCGTTCCTACTTCATTTTTGTTTCCTCTTATGCCATAGGTAGGTCTTTCGACTCACATGATTTTTGTTCTTTATTCATTTTCTGGTTTAGTTTATCTCTTCGCAGCCCATGTACTTCTATGATGCACCTTGGTGCATGTTGCATTCTCCGTCAAATAATTATTTTACTGATAAAGAAGGAATACATGTTCTTGGATGCAGAAAGATATATGCACCAGAATTATGCAAGGAGAATCCAAAAACTGTGTGGTCACCAATATAGGATACAATCATACTGATACATACACCAATACATATTTTCGCAACAAAAAGACCCAAAAATGAAGAGCAAATGTGCTCAATCGGAGGCGTCTAATTGACTTATGACCACAAAGCACCCAATGATGCATGAGTTACTTATAAAAAATATATTTTAGGATATTTGCCTGTTTAGCAAACTTACAAATTATGATATGCAAACAAGTAGGCTTTAGCACATATATGTTGACCAAAGAAAGAGCATGCCGGATATAGAGAGAAAACAAGCTCCTCTCTCTACATTTTCTCAGCTGATTCTTGACTGAATAGCTTAGCGACAGGCTAAAAGTTATGTAACACACGACATCTGCATTTTTTCAGGAAAAAGGATATACAGAAGCCGATATCCATGAAATAATTGAGTGAATATGCAGGAATCGAGTTACTCCCTTCGAAATTGCCGATCATAATATTCTTCATACTAATGACTTAGACTCAAGAGGAATAAGTAAAAGGAACACTCAGATACAAAAGGAATTAGTCATGAAATTCTCGATTATTGGTTACGGGATGGAAAAGGTTAAAGGAAGCAAATCAATTGGGACTAATTAAGATTTTTAGCATACAACAACAACAAACCCAGTGTAATCCCACAAGTGGGGTTTGGGGAGGGTAGTGTGTACGCAGAACTTTAGCATGATAGAACCATTAAAGTTTTGTCTTCTGATCTAGATGAGCATGAAGATGGAGCAACATTAGTTGAGAGAAGATTGAGCAAGCCCCACTGTACAAGACACACATGTTGATGTAAAATATCATTTCATCAAATCTTCCAAAACTTAGCACATTGTTGAAAAGCCTATTTTAATGAAGATCAATTTCAGTTTGCATTGCAAGGAGGGAGGTAGATGGGAGAGGAATAAAAGATAAAACGGGAAAAAAGGGGAGGAAAAGGCACATTGACTGTCACATCCAACAATTGGACTACTCAACATGTAATTGAACCCATGTTACACATTCAGACACCTTAGCCCTACACCATACGATTGTCCATCAAACTTCTGATGTAAACAGTTTTCAACATCTCGAATTTAAATAACTCAAGCTAAGACAGCTGCTCCCTCTGTCTCATTTGATGAAGCACACTCTGCTTTTTAGGTTGTTCCAAAAAAGAATTTGACACTTTTTTGTATTTAGCTTCTCACTTTAGCTTAATAAAATGATTTACAGTCACACAAATACACAAATGTCTATGATTTGACTCAGATCACAAGTTTGAAAAATCTTTCTTTTTTCATTAAATTCCATGTCTACTCAATCACATAAATTGAGATGGAGGGATTCTCTTTTGCTTCGTAAAAAATAGTAAACGAAATTTTATTTTTATGAAAAAACAAATCAAACATATATCAAGCAAATCCAATTATTTGTAAAGTCAACGTACAGTTCCATCAAGTTCATATGTTAGGACATGGAAATAAATAACAATAAGTAGAGATTTTCAAGAACCTTAAAAGTAGATCTTCTAAAAGATGAATCCGTTTGCAGAGGAACAGCAACTGACACCTGCATGCATAAACGCAAAATCTAGTCAAAATCCAAAGTACCCTCTAAAAACCAATACAAAAACTAACAACTGACATAGGATGGATCCAGAATTTTAAGTCAAAAAATGTAGAGTGCCATTAACAGTGGGTACCAACTTAATAAAAATCGAATCTTTTTAAAAGAAAAATGACCTGAGAGAGAGCTGAATGAGCCATTATGGGATCAAAAATGATTCTCTCCTTGTGGGTGTGATTCTATGTTTGTGGCTATGGAGAAAAACTCTGAAATGAGAAAGATGGAGAAGGGTTTATATAAATAGAGGGGTTTTTTTCTAGGAAGAAGAAAAGGGGGAAGTTGGCAAGCTACTAGGGGCTATATTAGCGAGGGATTGTAGTGATCCTTTGGAGTTTGGGAAAGGACAAGACTGTTTGGCTCTTCAGTGTTTGATATCAATTTTGTGAGCTTTTCTGCTGTTAGAACTTGGGATTATTAAATAACAATTGTATATTTTTAACTATATAAATAATAAGCAAAGGTTCTTGGGTACGACAAAGGGCATTATGGTAAATGTAATCCACTTTATGGGTAAATTGGTATTCCCTCTCTTCTTCCTCAACAGTCCTATCAATCAGCAATTTCTATATTCATATCTCTCTCCCACTCCTCTATATTTCTTTTTCCTCTATCTGATAATTGCTCATCGCTTCTGGGTATCATCCATTTTCGGTTTCTAATTTTCTAGCTTTTATTTCATTCGCTACTTCTGGTAAGTTTTTCCCTTTTTTTTTCCCTTTCTTGCAGTAATTTCTGCCCATCACCGAAAGATTGTAGTAATTCAAAGTAATTTTTCCTTTGAAGGATTGTCTATTTTTGCTTCATTTTTAGTTTTCTTTCTCTTTCGCATAATTTCTAGCTAGATATTTTACATACATGTCAGTAAGTCTATCTGATCTGCACATGCATGTTTGAGATTGTACCTGGTGCATATAATTTATATTATTTTGGCTTACTCATTCGTCTTTTGGCACTAATTACTAACTGTAAATCGAAATGTCGATACAAAAATCTATTGTATTATGCTTTTTGTTGGAAGATTGGGTCTGTGCTACAGTACCAGAAATTTAATTGGTGATAATATCGGTTTATTTGTAAACGTACTTTCATTGTGTTCTATATCTGTAAATCTTAATATATTTTATAGTTAGTAATACTTTCCATCTGAATGTTTTTAATTTTTTACTCTTCTTTTACTTTATTCTTTCGGTTATTTTTCAATTTTTATTCAAGATGATGAGATTTTAAACTCTGCAAACGGATGGACCCAAGGTGTTCGGCGCGATATGCCTGAAACAACACAAAACTATTTGGTAAGAATTTCTTTTGTTTCTCTTTTGTATTATCGAGTAAATTATGACTACCTTCAACTATGCAAAGTTTTACATTCCTGTGAATTGGGAAACTTTTTCATAAAATTTATACAAATGTAGAAATACTTATAGAAGGCTAAAAGCAATAGTAGCTTTTTGCATTTTACTTGTTATTTCAGTTAGATGTGTCGCTATTTGGTAATTGGCCATGGTATTAAAGTTGAGATGGTCAAAAAGCTGTCATTGGTGATTCTTTTTTTGTCTACCTAATTTTTTCTTGGCCAAGTATAGGTGTACAAGTTATAATGTGAAAATAAATTTTATTTAAAGGACTTCTCTATGCAAGTAAAAGGTTACAGAAAGATAAAACTAAATCGCTGGACTTCTAGCTTCAGGCGACGATGAATTTTTTGAAGCTCTGGCAATGATGTTGATGTTGGTGACAAACAGATTGGAAAAAATGCCGGTGAATACTGCGTTGTATTTAAACCTTTCAATAGTCAGATCTTGGATGCAGTAGTTGCCATAATTCACAAAGTAAGTGTTGTATTTAAGATATGTACAATATTATTTTTTATTTTTCACTATCTATAGATATTTCATTCCTGCACAACTGGTGGACTATGTTATTTTCTGCTTATGCATGTCTACTTCTGAATATTTTGTGTCAATTTGGTTGCAAAAACTGGCACTAAAAGGAACTCAATGAAAATAAAGAAAGGCTATACAACAACAACGATGACCAGTAAAATCCCGCAAATGGGGTCTGGGCAGGGTAGTGAGTACGCAGACCTTACCTCTACCCCGATGGGGCAGAGAGCCTGTTTCCGATAGACCCTCAGCTCAGGAAGGTGTAAAGAAAACGAGAATTTCTTTGATTACACACAAACAGAATTGTGTGACATACCAATTTAAAATAAAGAAAGGCTATATGAACGAAATCCTGAAAGGTCAGTAATGCATGCATTTATGTTCTTTCAATAATTTTGGTTGCCTTTATCTTGCTTATTTTCAACATTGGTAGTAAAATAGCTCAAAACGTGCGAGGTACGAGAGTGTGGTTCAATAATAAGGGCCTTACTGTTAACCTGAAATCTAGGGAATAATCAATTTTCTTTTACCACAATGAGGCATTGTTGCTTCTTTCAAGGCATATCCCCACGTTGTGTTCTTGTTTCCTAAGAAAGATTCAGTTAGTGTTGTCTGCAATGTTGTTGGCGTGGACTAAGATAAGTAGATCTTGTTTGAAAAAGAATATGTATATGATGTTATTTAGACTGATTTTTGGCTTTACTGGGTTGAAGTTTATGGAAAGAGAGCTTGAAACCTTAGTAGCTTTTGGCTGAGTTCGTAGCGGTTCACCAAGATGAAAAGAAGTTCAACGATCATGCGCTTGAAGAATTCCTGAAATTTACTTAGGTAACTTTGCTAAATGTCACAGTTATGAGGTTAGACTTTTTTGCCACACATTTTGATTGGTTAAGGTGTATTATTAAATTGAATTTAGTTATATCCTCCTTAAACTTATTGTAGGATCTGCTGAATAAAATGATGTTGGGGGAGTGGTTCTCAGTTTTATATACATCTTTCTTTCTTTGAAGGTTCTATTAATTTAATTTGGATGTTTGTCAAGAAATATTCATTGTTAGATCAAATTAACTTGAATGTGTGTGTCACTTATAATACGAAAGGGTACTTAACTACCCAAGACAAATAATATATAACAAAGAAAAAGGGAAAAAATATACTTGACTAATGAAAGTAATGTGACATCAACATGACTAGTTACTTTAATGTAATTGGTATAGCAGTTGAATTATCTTTATAATAATCTCTAAATAATAAAGCATCTCATTTAAACTTTTTCTTTAGTGCAATTAATGGGAATATAACATCGCAGGGGAATGGAAAAGGCGAGATAAAATCATATTAACCGATTGATACTGGCACTTACTCAATGGTAATAAATTGAGTAGTGAGCAGTAAAGTGCTTTGCTCCTATGCTCCTGCTTACCTTCTGGCTTTGGGGAGTAAATGCTTAAGTTTCTAGCTAAATGATAGTTCACATATCCTTCTGAAGCTTGAAATTGAGGTTTTAAGAGGTGCCTCTTCTACTTTAATTGGATACTGATAAGGAATGAAGTAACACATTTCTATTTTGATGGTCAATTATGCTTTGTATTAGGAGTGGCAAACGGGCGGGTCGGGTTGGATATGGTTCGGGTCGAAAACGGGTAATGAAAAAGCGGATAAATTATCCGACCCGACCCATTTTTAATACGGATAAAAAACGGGTTAGCCGACGGATAATATATAGGTAACCATATTATCCATGACTTCTTGAATATGAACACTTTTGGGAGAATTCCTAGTCCCAAACTTGAGGAACCCCCAATTTGAGGCTTTACAAATGTAAAAATTAAACACATTAGTTATCCATTGGTTACCCATTGGTTATCCATTTTCTAAATGGATAATATGGTTCTTATCCATATTTGACCCATTTTTAAAAAGTTCATTATCCAACCCATTTTTCTTGTATTTTCATGAAGTACTTATTGATTATTGTGACTGCCTTCTCTTTGTTTCACTGTTCATTCTACTGAGATTGGTGTTTGCCTTACATACTAGTGTTATTCGACAGTACTAACGTCCCTTTTGCCGGGGACACTACATCTTTGAATGGATGTAGGTGGTTCCAACGCAGATAGTGGTGCTCTCTTTCTCTCCTCACAGCAGTTTTGGTGGACCCCATTTCTCCCAGGGGTCATGTAGTCCTTCTTTGTATAAGTTTTCACATTTTGAGGTATAGACAGGGCCTTGTTGCCGGCATTGTTATGTTGCTCTTTTGTATCCTTAGAGGCTCCGTAGATGTTTTTGTGGGTCATGTATGTATGTTGGAGCGGTCGTTGGATCGAGTTGTATTTTGGAAACTTAACTATGGCCGGGGATGCCACCCGACAGGGACAGTGATTTCTATATTGATTTGGCTCCGGGCACTCAACCCATTTTTATTCCGCCATACCGCATGGCCCCGCCAGAGTTGAAAGAATTGAAGGAACAATTACAAGATTTGCTTGATAAGGGCTTTATTAAACCTAGTGTCTCGCCCTGGGGTGCACCTATGTTGTTTTTGAAGAAGAAGGATGGATCGATGAGGATGTGTATAGATTATCGGCAGTTGAACAAAGTCACCATCAAGAACAAGTACCCATTGCCGAGGATTGATGATTTATTTGATCAGCTTCAGGGTGCTCAGGTGTTTTCAAATATTGATTTGAGATCTCGCTACCATCAATTAAGGATTAGGGCATTCGATTTCCCTAAGATAGCTTTTCGGACTCAGTATGGGCATTATGAGTTTCTAGTTATGTCATTTGGGCTGACAAATGCCCCAACAACATTCATGGATTTGATGAACCGGGTGTTCAAACCCTACTTGGATTCCTTTGTGATTGTGTTTATTGATGATATCTTGGTCTACTCCCACAGCAAAGAGGAGCACGAGCAGCACCTTCGGATCGTTCATCAGACTCTAAGAGACAGCCACTTATATGCTAAGTTCTCAAAATCTGAGTTTTGGTTGAGTTCAGTTGCTTTCTTGGGTCACGTTGTATCAGCAGAGGGTATTCAGGTGGATCCTAGAAAGATTAAGGCAGTTCAGAACTGGCCTAGACCCACATCATACAGAGATCCATAGTTTCCTGGGTTTGGCGGGCTACTACCGTCAAATGGGTGGTTAACTGTGTTCTTTTAACCATTTTGTCACCCCTACTTTGTATTATGTAAATTTATAGAGATGCAAAATTATAGAGATGCCAAAGCGCGAATGCTTGCTGTCAAAGCACTTGCATCAGTGTGTGAAATCTTATTCGTGCCAGAAAATCATTAAAAATACATATCTTAGTTTCTTTTCATTGACAATGAGGTTATGCAGACATCTTTTTAAGATTAGGATGGTTATTGGGAAAATAACTGAGATTCTCTGTTGGTTCTTGGGTTTGTGAAACAGTCATCGATGGTCTGGATCCAGCCTATTACATGTGGGTTCCCGGGAACCCAGTAGCTTTTGTATATACCCTGTATATATATTACAAAATCTATTAAATATCCATAAATATTTGATTGTGAACTCATTTACTTATTGTATATTTATTTAAGGTCGCTATAGGAACCCATAAACTCTAAATTCTGGATCCGCCTCTGGGTCTGAGAGGTACACCTATATTCTATGCATGAGAGGACTCATGGGCTTTTCAAGGAAGTTGGAACAAATGGAACTTGCATCTATTTGAAAGTTTTCACTATTATTAAATAAGAAACAAGATAGTAATCAAGGTGTTCATCAAGCTGCAAATAGCTACACATTTCATTATCTAGAGTCATAGCTATTTTATCTGGAAGCAAAGATTTTCTTATCAATTATCTAGAAGCAAAGGATTTCTGTCTTCTATATCTTTTTGTTTTTGTTTTCTAAGAGTCCATTTCTACATCAATCATAGCTCACACTTGTGTTGTGTTACCTATAATTGCAGAATAGATATCTGAGTTTGAGAAGATGTCAGCCACGATGTCAATTAATAAGCACTATGTAACCTTGATGCTAAACTGCATAGTTTAGCTTCAGAACCTATACGTCATCTCTTATCCCCAATCCTGATTATTCTGGGATAAACTTGAAAGATTGCTCATCCTCTCGAATATGTTCGTTGGTTGATATATGTGCCATCACTTGTGAGGCCATTGTGTGGAGTTTACTTTAAAGTTACCGCATAATTTAGCTTGCTTATATAAAAGTCATGCCTTATGTATGCGTTCAAACAATTTAGTGAATGCTATTTTAAGCCATGTTAAATTTTTACACTGTTATAGAAAGTGAACAAGCAATTGTTAACTATATAGTTTAGTGAATTAGGGTTGAAGTTATTTATTTTTGCAGCTAAACCCCTCCATTAGCGGAAAAGAAGTGACTTGAAGGTGCTAAAAGAAGCTCTTGACATAAATTGGGTAAGATTTTCATTTCTTTTTCTCCCAGCCGTGTGTCTGCAAAACTTTCACGCCTCTTCGAGAGAGTGAAATCATCAGTGTGCGCAACAACATTATGAAAAGCACCCCCAGAATCTCGATTTATCTTACTGATGGCATTTTCTTCTAGATTCAGAAATTATATTGCATTTGGTTTAGTTATTACTTGAATCCATTAATGTTCTGTGTTCATACATACTTTAGAATGATGTCACTACAGCTAGATAGCTATTAAATTAATGTAAAATTTGGTAGTTAAATGTCGATACAAAGAGCTATTTAGATGATAAACATACACAAACACGCATATATATAGTTTGAGCTGATGATGAACTTTATTCTCAGTTATGGCTCAGCTACCTAATCAGATGCACTTTTACATTTCATTGGTTGGCTAGATATTTTTGTAAAAGATGCAGTAAATGTTCAAGGGGAAAACATAAGAACTTTTGTTGCCATATGCTTGCGGAGTGGAAGCCCGGCCCCCTCTTTCTCTCTAATTTAATTGCATTTATAACTGTTATGGTGCAATGAAGATTTAGTAAAACCTAAATTTGTTTTTCGATCATTAATTTTTATCTGTGGAACCTGTTTGATATGGAGCAAATTTCAATTTTCAAAAAAACAGGTTGATTCGAATAGGTCGTGTACAGTGCTCTGTGAAACTAAATCTCCATTTTAATACTACGTATAACTTGTAGTTCACTCTAATGATGGAATAAAGCTGGGCTAAATTGACTTGACATGGTTGAAAGTGATAAACTTGCTATATATAATAGCCTCCGACTTGTGCCATACAATTTAGATTGAAAATGTGCAAATATGTTGCAGCTTTTCGTGTGTTAATACATTTCATTAGACAAAATGCATTCAGAGCATGAAGATCAACAATTGAGACCAAATTACTTCTCAACTAAGGCGGTATGGTGTAACCTATTTCACTGAAACTTGTACCAGTAGAAGTTCCACCAGATCATCCCTTAAGGTCAGTAGGTATTTTGTTGTTGAAAATTTCAGAAGTTATTTGCTACTGTTTTTTGTGTCTTATGAATGGTGTGGATACATGCTGTCAAACACGTGAGAGCTTAAAGGAAGACACTGGGGTACTGCCGGTTCGTTGTGGTATACCAAAGGGGATGCTAACACTTTATGCACTCTCCAATAAGAAGTATGTGTCAATAGATTCGCCTATCCAAAAAATTAGAAACGATGTTCCAGAGCTGATCTATTTCATTTGTGCACAATTTATGAGCATTCCCCCGCAAAATTATTGAAGAAAGTTGACATTGTCTATGCCTTAATTGAATAATTACTTGATTAAAACATATTATGTGACGCATGAAGCCATTAGTTGTAACTACTTAAATAACCTAAGTATTGATGGAATTTGTGGTCGGTAGTAGCTTCATATAAAAGAACAAGAACATTTTATCTAAATATTAAACATGACCTTTAGGGAGGCTTTGTCTAATAGAGACAAGTCTGATAGAACTTCAGGTAGAGTTTGTCTAATAGACAAAGGAAAATTTAGGACTGATGAATGATATTCTAGGATAGGATCTCAACTTTATAGGTAAAACCAGTTGCGAAAAGAGAAGCGGGACAAGTTTCCACTGATGCAAAATGCCCGTTGACCCGCATTCCAGAGAAAAGTTCTTCCCATACTCTGTTAGTAATGATTCCTATAATTTTATCTTCCCAGCAAAGTTTCAATTGTTGCTTTTTTTTTATTTGGGGGAGGGGGTTCCTGCATTATTTTTTTCTGTTTTCTACACTATTTTCAGTTTCTGCTCCATATTTGTGCAGTATGCACTTGCTTTTCAGTTTCTGCACCATATTCTTCTATATTTTGTATATTTTCCTGCATTTTGCACTTATTTTTGCGCTCTGCGTTTTCATTCGTGCATTCTGCACTTGCTTTACATGTTTTGCTCTTTTTGGGGTGCATTTACCTGCAATTTGCACATGCCTTTTTGCAGTTCGACTAATATTTTTTGCATCTGGGATAGAGTTCACTCAAATTTGTATATTCAACTTTTAGCAAAATACTAAAGGTATGGTCTACGTAGGTTTAACATCTTTTTCTCTTCTTTTCTCCCAGGGAATCTAAAATCTTGGAATTAGACATGCGGCTGGTTCTGATACTTTCATCAAATACTATTGCAAAAAGAAGGCTTATAGCAATCAAGGTCTATTGTATAACATAGTTACTGAAATGAATGTACATTGTATGGAGCTATTATGTAAGTATCTAATCAGCATGATCATATGTTTCCTCTTTATGTAAATGGTTATTATGCTAAACAATTGAAATAAGCAGGAACCTTTTTGGTACAACAATGCCGAGGTACAATAATGTCGGGCTTATGCCCGTGCACAGCACGGGCACGGGCCATCTAGTAGTTTAATACTCAAAAGTATCGACACTATCTATATGCCTTATCCTACACCTTGTAGGATTACAACGTACAACAAATTTTTATACCAACCAACACTTAAAAATGGTCCTAAAAGTGACTTTACAAGTGATTGGTAGCATCAGAAGCCCATAAATCAAAAAGGGCAGAAGCAGTTCATATTCAACAACAAACCCATATGACATAGATGGTAATCAGACTAATTAGACCAACCAGAATATCAAGAATATACAAAACTCAGATAATCTCCAAGAATCAACAAATCCTAAATACAAAGATATAATCTTCATAAAAGAATGTTACTATAAAATACCCGGATCATCAAATAATGATTGCATTGAAATAAACATTAAGAAGAGGGAAAATAACTGATATATTCAGCTGAAAAAAATAAAACATCACCTAATTTGAGGTAATTATAATATTGATTGATCTTACTTTGGAATCTGAGATTATGCTTCAACGGGGAGAGATTGATATGCCGAAGAGAAATGCGAAGTTTTACATCTCATAAAGGGCAGTTAAGTTAGTAGTTAGTACTATATTAAAACGTAACGATTAGACATTAAAAGTTCATTACTCTGATGATCACTCAACTATCAAAGTCATTTTTCTTTCGTTTGTAACAACAAAGTCACTTAACTATACTTATAGCACTCAGAAGGTCACTCAACTAGATTTCTCAAACTTTTTGATCGCCAAATACCTATTTTACCCTCTAAATTATTAACTTTTATTTTTTTTTTCTTTTTCTTTTTCTTATTTTTTTAATATATTATATACTTACCTTAGAATAAATAAATTTTATTTATAAATTAAAAAATAAAAAAGGTATTTAAGCTAATGTTGGAATAACAAAATATTGAGCATAGTAGAAAGTTAATTAGAACAATTTGTTCGTAATAATAATTTTGATAATAACAACAAAAACTCAAAAATTTATTTACACAATTGAGATAAAAGAAAATAAAAGTGTTAAAATATATATTCCATGTACGTATTATAGAATATAATTATTTAAAATAAAGATATTTTTATAATATACATTATATATTCTTAAAAATTATGCTCAATTATGTTATTATTCCAACATTATATATGCTAGAAAAATAACTTTTTATTTTTAAATAAAATTTATTTTTTCTATAGGTAAGTCCATAATGTTGATTAAAAAAAGAAAAAATATAATATTTAAAAAGTTTTAAAAAAAGAGAGAAAGATAAAAGTTGATAATTTAGAGGGTAAAATAGGTATTCGACAATCAAAAGTTTGAGAAATCTGGTTGAGTGACTTTCTGAGTATTATAGGTATAGTTAAATGACTTTTCTGTTACAAACGAAAGAAAGATGACTTTACAAGATAATTTTGAATAATTGAGTGACTATTTAAGTAATTGACTCATTACATTAACTATAACAATCTGAAATGTTTAATTTATTCAACAAATTAACGATTCCCAAGTTCCACACTTTGTTTTGGTGACTTCATAGTTTCCTCATTGTTATCTTGTAAAGTAGATGTACTCATGTCCTACAAAAAGTACATAGCTAAATGTCACGATCCCAAATTCCCTCTGTAGGATGTCGTGATGGCACCTAGTCTCTAGACTAGGTAAGCCTATCAATGAGGAATAACAATAGAAATATGAAATAAATAAGTGTGCAATTCAGATAATTACAACTCCCAAAATCCAGTAGAAATAAGTCACAAGCTTCTAAGAATTTATCCCCAATGTCTCTATATATGTCAGAGTATTAAAAAAAATAAGAAAGCAACATAATAAGGATAGAAGGGGACTCCGGAGTCTGCGGACGCTGACAGATATACCTCGAAGTCTCCGTACACAGGTAGCTCACTGATGTCTGGACTGGTAGGATGTACCTGGATCTGCACAAAAAGATGTGCAGAAGCGTAGTATGAGTACACCACAGTGGTACCCAGTAAGTGTCAAGCCTAACCCCGGTAGAGTAGTGACGAGGTCAGGTCAGGCCCTACTGGAATAATAAAAGACATGGTGAAATGTATAACAATATAATAAAAATAAAATGACAATGAAAATGAATCAAGTAAATAGTATGTCGCCATTTAACACAGAATAAGGGCAAATAATACCTCGCGAAAACAAAACAAAAAATTTTCAACTTTAAGAGAATCACAACAATAATCAAAGGCAACTGCGGCCACAAATAAATATCAACATGGGCACTCCCGAGGTACCGCCTCGTAGTCCCAAATCATAAATAAATTCAAAATATTTCATTTCTTTATATCACCGCGGGAGCCTTCACATTAAATTTTAAAGAAAATATTTTTTTCCTGAAATAGTATCCCCCGTTTTAGTCACCCTTATCACACCGCATGACTTCTAGTAGTTCTCCTACTAGCCATGTGTATCAAGCCACCCTTCTCTCACCGCATGCGTTTCAACACCCAGACCTTATACCACCGCATGCGTATCAATAACACAATATATCACAGTTTGCACCTCAAGTGCCCAAATATTTTAACTTGTCAAAATAAATCAACAACAATATTTTCCATAATAAAGAGCTCACGGCACCATCACAATGAGTACGAAAATCTCACAAAATATTCAGCAAAAATAATATTTTACAAATTTAACACCTTGTCAAAATATCAAATTTTTAAATGTAAAATACTTCATTTTTAATAATATTTAAATTAAGAAATTCATCCTTCAAGTAATGCACAGAATAAAAGAAAATAAAGTTTCAACTAAACAGGTAAAATAATTAGTAGAAAAAATATCATGCAAATTTAAAATATAAAAATAGATCAATGATGATGAATATAATCGGATAAAATAATTTAATTAATGTGTAATAGATATCTACACAATTTAAAATTAGAGTTTTTCGCATTCAGCCCGTGTACATACTCGTCACCTCGCATACACTTCTTTTCACACATCACAATTGTCATATCAATATCAATCCTAATGAAAATTTCCCCCACACAAGGTTAGACAAGTCACTTACCTCAAACCTCGCTCAATTAGTTAAGTAGTATGTCTTTTCCTCAATTTTTCGACTCCGATCGGCTCGAATCTAATCATAATTAATTCGATACAATCAACAAAAATTATAGAATCAATTCCATAAGAAAATACTATATTTTTCAATAAAAATCCGAAATTAACTCAAAAATTGCCCGTGGGGCCCACATCTCGGAATCCGGCGAAAGTTATGAAATATGAACGCCCATTCAACCACGAGTCTAACCATACCAAAATGAGTAAATTCCGATAACAATTCGCCCCTCAAATCCTTAAATCTATCCAAGAGAGTGTGTCAAAAATTTTCAACTTAAATCAAGTCCTAATACATCTTCGCGACACCTGGATGAATGGAGTACCGCGAACTGTGAGCCTCCTGGAGAATCAACTCACGCAAACCATCTACATTAGGCACACATAGTCTGCCCTGCATTCGTAATACATCGTCATCTCCAATAGTGACCTCCTTGACGTCACCGTGCTGAACTGTGTCCTTAAGGACAAGCAGATGGGGGTCATCATATTGATGCTCTCTGATACGATCATGAGAGAAGACTGAGAAACCACACAAGCTAAAACCCGGCTCGGCTCGGAAACATCCAGTCTAACAAACTGGTTGGCCAAGGCCTGAACATCCAAGGCTAAAGGCCTTTTTGCTACCGGTAAATATGCTAAGCTACCCAAACTCTCCGCCTTACGACTCAAGGCATCGACCACTACATTGACCTTCACGAGATGATAGAGAATGGTTATATCATAATCCTTAAGCAACTCCAACCATCTCCGCTGCTGCAAATTAAGATCTTTCTGTTTAAACAGATGTTGTAGACTCCGGTGATGGGTGTAGACCTCACAATGGACACCGTACAGATAATGCCTCCAAATCTTCAAGGCATAAACAATAGCTGCTAACTCAAGGTCGTGGACCGGATAATTCTTCTCATGTACCTTGAACTGTCTGGATGCATAGGCAATCACCCTACCGTCTTGCATTAACACAGCACCGAGACCAATACGCGATGCATCACAATACACAGTATAAGACCCTGAACCTGTAGGCAATACCAATACTGGGATTGTAGTTAAAGCTATCTTGAGCTTTTGGAAGCTCTCCTCACATTCCTCGGTCCATCTGAACGGAGCACCCTTCTGGGTCAATTTGGTCATAGGCTGAGGACGGTCTGGACCAACTCTGCACTTCTTCAATCTTCTTCGGATCTATCTTGATCCCCTCGCACGAAACTATATGACCCAAAAATCCTACTGAATCAAGTCAGAATTCATACTTTGAAAATTTTGCATATAACTTCTTTTCTCTCAAAGTGTGAAGCACAGTCCTCAAGTGATGCTCGTGATCTTCCCGACTCGAGGAATATACTAGAATGTCGTCAATAAACTCAATGACTAAAGAATCAAGATGGGGCTGAAATACACTATTCATTAAGTGCATAAATGTTGATGGGGCGTTGGTTAGCCCAAATGACATTACAAGGAATTCGTAATGACCATACCGAATCCTGAAAGCAATCTTCGGGATATCTGGCTCCCAAATCTTCAGCTGATGATAGCCTGAACGCAAATCGATCTTAGAGAACACTTTGGCACCCTGAAGCTGATCAAATAGGTCATCAATACATGGCAATGGATACATGTTCTTCACTGTAACCTTGTTCAGCTGGCGGTAATCAATACACATCTGCATAGACCCATTCTTCTTCTTCACAAATAAGACAGGAGCACCCTAAGGCGATACACCGGGCCGAATAAAGCCCTTATCAAGCAACTTCTGTAACTGGTCTTTTAATTCTTTCAACTCTGTTAGGGCCATACGATTTGGTGGAATAGAAATGGGCTGAGTGCCCGGTAATAAATCAATGCCAAAG